TGAGATGGAAAGTAAGGCACATCCCAACAAAATAACTGCCTAAATCTAAAGTGTTTTAATAAAGCAGAAAGATGGCCTTTTGTGGAAACTAAATCCATACTAGTAACTTTTTAGATTAAAATTAATTAATAAATATGCACCACAACTCAGGAAGAAGGGCAGACCAAAATACCCAGCCTTCATTTAATTCATTTAGTCCATGAATAATTATGAACTGTAAAATTATTGTAGAGATTTTCCTAACAGTACAGAAGCCAAAAAAATAAAGACATCAAATTCTTGTCTGATGCAACTATTAGGGACATTTTTTCTACAGTAATCTTAGAACAGGTTAAGTAGACTGTACAATTCTCTTCTAACAGTCCTGTTTTTAATATAGTCAATGAGGACAGAAGCTAGATAAGAGATCCAACCAAGATACATTTCTCTACTGCACCTACTTAATTATTCAATGGGAAAGACTTCCCGCTTGACACACAACACAAGAAGATCACAGTGTGATGCCAAGGCCATCCAGGCTGAAGAGCCGTAAAGAAATGGCACCCAAGCCTTCAAGTAACTATTTGCCTGTCGTAAATCAAGACACTGAAATGGGTTCAAAACCTCCATAAAACAGGCAGGCAAAAGTCTTCTCCAGCTTAAAGAGGCAGCTGTAAGCCTTTACCTTTAGTGGTTTTCAGTGTTGCTCTTTACATTGCTAGTGAGAGATTCAAACACCTTCAGAAAATTCACAGGAGTTTACTTCTTTACTTACCTGAAATAGGGGACAGGTATAAGCAAGCCCTGAATTACAGTTTGATTTAAGATAATTCAACACCTGTAGAAGCTCTTAGAGCTCTGTGAGGTACAAGACACAACATTACCAAATCTGAGCTCTCAAATGTGTGCTGGCATGAATTAACTGTAATCCAAGATCCTTTACTATTTTCTTTCCTCAAATCCTTCTTTACTGGAGAAATGAGTTGAGGAAAGCTGCAAAGTGGATTTTCAGTCTCCACAGAACAACTAGGATTATATGTACCTTAATAATTTGCCTTCTTACCTCTTTAGACAGAAATACAGTGCAAGATACAGGAAGAGGAAACTAAGCTAAACTACAGACTTAACTTCATAATTAGTATTTTTAAGTGAACTACTGTAAACAAAAAGTTCGTATGATTTCTAGCTTGTTTTGAAAGCAATCAGAATAAGGCCATAACATATATAGATGGGAAAACTACAATCTTTATTTCCTTCATATAATAATAGAAAACAAAAAAAAGAAGGGTAAATGCAGTGTAAATGGTGGAAACAAGGCCTACCACGTGACTAAGGAAATGCAGAATGGAAAACGGAAAGCAAGGATTTGGCTTTAAGGAAAAATGTCACAAGATAAGTACTTAGGCTACACATTTTCATAATTTATTAAGGAAAGAAAATCCTACAAGTTAGAGAATAAAATTAAGACTTAAAGTTTAAAGTATTATCTTGACTTTATTTAGTTTTTTTTTCCACAGAACAAACTATTAATTGAGTCAGGAAGGCCCTTAATGTTCCATGCTTTTCAGTTGTTAGTATAATCTTACATATTTTACAAGAAAAAACAAGCAGTTCTTATTTCTACAATGGCTTTTCATTTAATTTTTTCCTTGGGATTATAATATGTTCATTAAGTGACCCCTGCTACATTCAGGGAAATAGAAGGATTCAGTACTGTAGTGTTACATACAAGATACTTATAAAAACTCTAAAACAGTGGAATCCAAATGTAATTTTATTATTAAAATTATTTATGAATTGCATACCTAAGACATATTTTGCAAGTACTAAGAAAAAAAAAAACAAACAGTTTTAGTGTTCTTATATATATTTATATGGGTGTTGTACATGACTATTGAAAAAAAATTCCCCGCTACCTTTTTGATTTACCTTACGTAAAACACATCTTTATCTTCTATACTTCCAGCCATCAGAAAGATAAATAGCAGCGTATTAGGTGTCAGAGAGACTGAAAACTTACAAGGACTCAGGGCAAACAGGGTGATGGGACCGTATACAATCAATTATCAAGGAGTCTTAAGATCATCTAGTAACACTTTTTCCACTAAAGTGGAAAGCACAATGTATCCTGAAAATACCAGGCAGATTTGATCTACAGTCAAGGAAAGAAGAAAAAAAAAAAACCACCACCAACAACAAAAAAACCCCACCAAAAAACCCAAACAAAACCCACCAAAACCACAAAACTTGTACTAATGCAGTGCAGTTCAATATTAGAGAG